ACCTCCATCCTTTATATGAAGCATTTCAGAAACTTAAGCTTTTAATTGATCAAAATAATCAAAGAAACACATCTCAAGGGATTTCAGATTCACTTTTACATAAAGAAGAAAATCTAAAAGTAATTGTTTATCAAGAATTTAGAACATTTAGAATCATAACACTGGTGTCGGAATTCGTTTAAAGTCATTTGTTGATTGTGTTTTGCACCGTACATGGCCATTATCGCCTGCGTCAACAATCGCAGACTTTTCTGCTTCAGGGAAATTGAAAATAGCTAATGTAGTTGCCAAGTCGTTATTTTTAAGGAGCGCTTTTAATAATTTATTTTTGCCTTGATAATAAAATGCTGATGTATCGCATCCAGAAAATGCGTGCAGAAATAAAACTAATGAATTGGTCGTGTATGAAACTGTTTGAATCGTAGTACGTGATATCCCCTTTGATGTCTCTTAAAAAGTAAACTTTCTTATCTGATGAAGTTCGTTGCGTCATTATGACGAGGTGATCCGTATCTCTGAACTCTTACTGATAGCAGTCTCCACAATTAATGTGTCAGCATCTTCTTTGGCTTGCAAGCATGGAATGTCATGGCATAGTAGTTTACCAATTAAACACAAAATGAATATTTTTATTATCATCATTACTGAGGAAATCGTCTTGAGTTTTCGACAACGGAGTTTACTCATTGAAATCGATTTCTCTACAAACTCCCGTTGCTTTTCTTCGTACTCTCTCTGCTGATTTAGTCCCAATATTCTCATAACCATCAAATACTACGGTAATATTACTGCCTGGGAAATGTTTGAGCAAATAATCTACGTACAACTGAGTTATTTCCCCGTACTTCATTGCACTGTCAGCACCAAATCCTCGTGGCCAAATAACTTTTTTTTAGCAAAAAGCCTCCGTCAATCACGTACTGAACTTTTGCAGGTAACCCGTCAATTTTTTTGAAATTATCCATGAACTTCGACTTATCCGTCTTACGCATAATGCCATTTTCAAATATTGTTGCCGGATATTTAGCAAGTTCAAAGCTAAGGCATTCCTTTAAATTTTGATTTTTGTTTACGGCGACGGCAATTCTTTGAAAAATGAGTGTCGGATTGGCAGTGATAACATCGCCATTATCGACAACAATTTTGCCAGCAGCAGCTTGCAAAGATAGAACTTGCTTTTTCTTAGAAAATTTCATTTTATCAAAAGTTGTAGTATTTTTTATTTGCTCGCGTAACAGTTCCTTTCCTACTTCCAAAGCTTTGTAACAAGTTATAGTTGCATCTCCCATAATACCTGTACCAAGGGATACTGGAACTGTAGCTACAGGAAACGGGTTATTTTTGCTAAAAAATTTCAACATTTTCTGCAGATCATCGTAATCTCTTCTCATGCGCGATGGTCTGCTGTCTTTGTGCTGCTCACTAGACGCAAAGAAAACCTTTGAATATGATTACAATTGTTCGCACAAGTCTACCATTGCTGGAGTGGATAAAGTCCATTGAGCCTGCACACTTTCAGTAACACCTCGACCGTGAGTTAGACCCTCCTACTTTTCATCAATCGCATTAGAAATTGTTCGATGATCATATCGCTCCACGTGCCAGACCAGAATTTGTCTGTACGCCTAATGGTAAAATATCCACTTGTCATAAACTTTTCCAATTCTTGTAACTCTTTCTCTTCCATGGCTGTTCTACCTTGTTTAGTTTTCAACTCGGCCAATCTATTTTTTAGAACAATCATTTGCTGTAAGTCCAATGAAAGACACTTGACGTAATGAAAATGACCTGTTACCAGGAAAAGTGGTATCATTCTGTGACAACATTCCAAATGTAAATCGAAATCACCACTTCTCTCGGCTTCAATGTACAGCTTCATTATTGTAAGTAATTGAAAGTACAGGACCCATAACCGAGCCGTTGGTCCACGAGTTTCCAGTTCTTCTAATTTTTTATGAAATTTTTCGTAAGCTGATGTAAAATGAATGTTGTCTAAATAATCTCTAAGATTTGGGCCTTGCTTTATGATGATGTTATTCATGATTTCTTGCTCTTCACTACTGAAGTCACATTCCTCCATAATCAATATGCCTAAGGCTGCATGCATCAATGTGTGTCCGCCCAAAGATCTTGAATAAAATATGCCATTTAGCACTTTGTCGCACGAGTTTTCAGCATACAGCTCGCAAAATATTTCCGTTACCATTCATAACGTAACTAATCGAACTTGTAAACGAAAACCATAAGTGTAAACCCCCTAGTCGTATTATTAGTTTCGGCAAATCGACATGTGTTTTAACTTCCTCTGCTTTCCAAAAGAGAGGCGAATCAAATGTAATGAACATGTAAGCTTGATCCAGATCTACTCGTAACTTTTCTGCTTTGAGAAGTGAAGTGTATATAGTGTCCAAATTACTCGCCGGAGCGTTGATGAACGGTAAAATTTTAATTCGACTTATTTCAAAAGCATCATTTTTTGTAACTGTTTCCATAAATCCGTAAAAACACGGGTAATCGGCTTTCTTTGACACACAACGACCGTACGACCAAAAAAAATCCAGTTTAGATAATTTGATTTCTTTTGGAATTTCATGAATTGCATCGATATCTTCTAACTTAATTTTTTTAAAGCCACCATCTTGTTGTTTTCCAAAAGTTTTAAGAGAAATTCTACCATATTTAGCTAATTCTTGAGTGGTCAACGGATCTTTCACGCGGTATAGGTCGACTCTCTGACACCGCACTTTTAGGCGTAATAATCTGAATTCCACCCATCACATGTAGAGTGCCATGTCCATCAGGCGCTTCTACGTTGTGATCGGCATTGTCAACTACCATTTGTGAAAAGGCATTATATTGATATTGTTCTTCGTGACATCACTGACGATAAATATCGGCGTACTTCGGTATAGGAAGCACAAAATCCATTCGCGTGCAATAAATCGATAAGTTCTTTTGATGCAAACATTCTATGTAGTACAGTGGCAATATTAACTAGAACTGGTGATATGAAAGACGCAGGTTTCGCTGCTGCAATTATTGAATGAGCTATCGAATTGATTATTTCATTCCAATCTGCTGACTTACTTTTATGTTTAGCTATGATATTGAATAAATGTCTCCGTAAAGATTCCGGAACTAATTTGTCACTGTCTTTTAGAAATTTATCTTGAGGTGGATAATGTGTCGTATCGTACTTCTGAGTTTGAATGTCTTTTGAGTAAATCGCCGCTGAATCGTCAATCTTTTTAAATCGTTCTTGATCAGTGCTACTTGCTTTATTATTATAAAAATTTCCCGCTAGTAAAACTTTCGCTAAAGACATTCGTGACATAATGATATTCTCTTTGGAAAGTTGAATTATAAATTCTGTTTTTAGTGCATCTTGCAGTTTATATTTGAAGGCCTTAAAATTAGGCATTTCTTCCATAATTTCCTTATTAAAAATATCGCGGAGGCAAAACTGAGCTTCATCAGGTTTACATATAATTAATAATTTGATTACAAATGTTCGGTTCCGATTGATTACATTCAACTGTTGCACATTTTAATTTGAAAGGCGGTTTGTCTCTGCATTTCTTATGGTAACCTGCTTCAACTTCAACTAGACATGGAACTCGTGAAATGCGACTTATAAACTTTTGTGCTTCAAGGCTTTCTAAATTATTATATTTTTTTACCAAGTTCGATCTATACTGTTTGCTAGTAACGTAGGATACACTATTAGCAGCGCTGAATGAATGGTACACGTAAAATGTTGCCACAAAAAAAACAATTATTTTTAAAATCAAAGTCGACATTCGCGCTTCGTGTCGAGGTGCTCGGTTGTGATTGGACTCTCTGAGTGATGCTGTATTGTATATTGTGTTTTGAATTGTAAGATTTAGAACAACTGTCGTGAACTAATATCGCATCTCTAATGCTCAAAACTTCTTCAACATTTTTGTCACCTCTAAGTTTACTCGATTTGATTAAATTTTGAATACCTTTACGTTTAACAATGACCGTTGCAGTATCTTTCATAGCTTTCTTGCACAAAATACAGTCGTCAGACCATGGGTCTTCTGCTGCTGGTGACTCGGCCATGGCTTGAAAGATGTGTAGAATATGTCTGAAAAAATATAGGAATAACTATTTTAAAAATTATTATAATGCGTCAAGCAAAAAGTATTCTTATGTCAAATGTGATTTTAGTGGGTTTCAAGGGCGAGAATATGCAAACTAGAGAATAAAGATTTAATATAACGTATAATTTTGAGGAAAGGTACATAGACTTTTCTGTGTTACCGGTCACTCAACTTGCTTTCCCGTGCAAAGTATACGGCAACGCAGAGAGGCCTATGGCTCCTTTCCTCAAAATCATGGGGTACTAATAAGACAATGCAACTATAGAGCATGTGCGTGGTCACGTGACATTTTCAGCATGGAGTATAAACAAACTACTGAACATAACCTAAAGGTTCTGTCGGGTTCTATATTTCGAAATATATCGTTGTTGTGTCATGTTAGTGCTTTTTTTTTCTAAAATGAGTGGTTATTATAAGTCTTTGGACAATCAGAGTGCTTTGAGATATCGTCAGAAAATAAGTATTATCAATAATATTGACCCATATATGTTGGGTATAAAATCTTGTATCTCGGAAATTAGTAATTTTCCAAAGATCATGTATCCAGATATCGTCAGTTATTTGCTATACACAAAGAGTGCATACACTTTTGAAGATTTGAAGGCCTACAAAGGTTTAGAGGCGTATAAGCAGGCAATCTCTGGGTGGGTGCGAACAGTGCATACCACGAAGTGTGCAGAAAAAGTTTTAATTCTAGGGACGGTCTAAAAAGAAACAATATAACTTGCGTTTAATTACAGAACTAACATATTTCTGTTCATATTTGTATGTAGTTTTAATTTAAGATTTTAATTATAGTAATTCAGACGTAAAGTAAGAACTTCAAATAAGACAAAAAAAATACTTGTTTTTACATGCTCATTTTTTTTACAGGTAATGCATTCCCAGAGGTTGGGTGAACGTCATTTGAAGCTATGGATTGTGGCCAATGAAGAAGGATCTATTTTATGTGCCCATTGTGACTGCATAGCAGGCCTCGGAGAAACGTGCACCCACCCACGTGTGCGCTGTATTATTCAGCATTGATGAGAGTTTGAGAAAAGCAACTGAAAGGTCGGTCACTGATGTGAAAGCATACTGGACAGCTCCTGGAAGAATTGGAGACCCAAGAAAGGTGCAAGATATTGATTTTATGTCCCCAAATAAGCAAAAAGAAATTCCTTTGTTTGAGAGAAATAAACTGAAACGCACATCTGTACCTGAGCTTAATAAGGACGATGTAATCACCTTGCTAGCTCTGCTAAAGGAGACACCAAGGGGGTCAGTTCTACATTCAATTGTGAGACCATTTTCCACTGAGGTATCAGAGTCCTGCCAAGAAAAAACATCGTATATGTTAAACGGATTGTATAAATTAGAAAACGAGAAACATACATTGGACAGTTTAAAACAAATTGGTAAGCATTTATTGTAATATTTACATATCTTCTGCTGTCACAGATGTGTATTTGTTTATTACCTTGCTATGCCAGGGTGCATATTGACTGCTCACCATCTCAGTTTTTTACATGTGTTCCTTAGGACTAAAGTTTATAGTATGAACTGTAAGTGTATTTGTTGCCTGCCGTGACTCCTGTAGTAGAACCATGAACAATCGACATCGATATGTCCCCTTACTTCTCATTTTGCCTCTTCCAGATTAGCTAGGAGAGGTCAAGTGAGAAAACGGCAAAACATATCGATGTTGATTGTTCATGGTTCTCCACTGTTCAGATAAAGTATATGCAGTGTATGTGTGATTACTGAATGATGTGTTGCCAAATACTGCCTAGTGTTTAACTCTATAAGAACTAGTTGTAAGTATAATTTTTTGCAGGATCTAGTTCGGACCTCACTATTCCCCTGGAGGAATGCAGAAAAATTGAGAAGTTGACTGGGGAGCAAGCACAATCAAAGGCATGGTTTCATTTTAGAGCAGGACGAATAACCGCTTCACACTTCAAGTCTGTTTGTCGAACCAAAGTAGAACAACCTTCACTTTCATTATTGAAAACAATGTGCTACCCTTTGCGTAGTACATTTAGAACAAAAGCAACAATTTATGGCTGTATGCACGAAAAAGATGCTTTACAGGCTTACACAGAGAAAATGTGTGTGATACATGAAGATTTTGGAACCGAACCTGTTGGATTACGTTTGAATCCAGAATATCCAGCTTTTGGAGCTTCCCCTGACGGTTTAGTGTCATGTGTATGTTGTGGACTAGGGTGTACAGAAATTAAGTGCCCGTTTTGTGCAAAAGATTTAGGTGTAGACGAGTTGTCCATATTGAAAAAAAGTTGGACTAGATGATGTTGAGGGAACAAGACATTTGAAAAAAAGACCACACGTATTAGATCCAAATGCAACTTGCTATAACTCGGGTGAAATACTGTGATTTTATAATCTGGAGCAAGAACAATATTTTTATAGAAAGAATGAATTTTGGAATAGGGAAAGTAAATTGGCACTTAATTTTTATAAAAATGTTATTTTACCAGAATTATTGGGCAAATACTTCACCAAGTTCGAAGAACACGCTATCAACTGGAACGTGGTAAAACATGATCATTCCTATTCAAAGGAATCAAGTGATGTGTAAATATGCCACATGTTGCGAGCTTACGACAAGGTTTTGCTGCATACCTCAGGGTATGCTATAATTTAAAAAAATACTATAATACTTTTAGGGCCAGTTTTTCCACCCACCTTCTAATAACTTTATTTGCCCATTAAATCATGTGTCAGAAAATGAGATATAGATTTATTTGATAGTTGGAAAAACCGGCCCCTAATAATTTATTTATAGTTAAGAAAAATTAAAATATAAATAGTAATAGATTAGATATACATTTTTTTTTGGTCTTTTTGGAGACAGAAATAAAGAATAATATATTAATGTATCTATATATTTTTTTATTTGCGGCAGAGTCTACATAATTTACAACAAAGTTATCAGTACAGGGTTGAAAAGCAGTAATAAATAATTTAACTACAATTATATACAAAATATATATGGACTTACGACTATATAATAATTATATTTATATGATTTACAATCAATCTAATGGAATAATTGGTGGTATAAGGTTTATCAGACAACAGCATACCACAACCATTTTGTTTATCAACATATATTCATTAGTTTTTTGTTTTACAGTATCTAATGGTAAAGTGTCATTAAAAATAGTAAATTTTTGACGAAGCATACCAATTATTCTTTCAACATGGATCCTGACATTTGCAATCTTGCGAGTAGTCTCTATTTCTTTTGCTGATAATTGTTTTTTTCCTTTAAGGAAAGCTGTCGTCACAACTTCAGCAAGACACATGTTGACTGAATTACTTATTAGAAAACCCCTGTCAGCGATAACCAAATCTCGTGGTTGGAGTTTATCTAAGAAACCACAATCTTCTATTATAAACTTATCGCTGGCCCTACCACCGTATGCATTAGATGTAAAACATATTACACCCTATGGGGTAATTCCTATCAAGAATTTAACTGTATGGTGGTGTTTATAATTTGACCATGTCCGAGCAGCCGCATTCATATTAGATGGCCGTTCAATGAATACCTCAAAACAGTCGATTATAACTGTTGCTCTCAGTCCAAAATTGTCATGGAAGCATCGGGGCATGTTTATACTGAGATCTTCTTGGGAAGGCCAAATAATTAAACTCTAAAACATAACAAAAAAAATATATATTAAAACCCCTACAATACATTTTTGTTGAATAGTAATAAGTAAGTACTTACTTTTAAACGAGAGTATAGTATTTCCAATGTTCTTCGAAAAATTCTTCCTGCAGAGATGTAATGACAGTTAAATCTGTTTGCCACATCTCTAAAGGGCAGATTTAACCGCAGTTTAATTAGAGTAAAAATTAATTGATGAAATTTATTCAACGGTGTCTGCGATGTCTCTATCATATAATCTTTCACCAGGTCATATATGGTATTTAAATAGGTAAACGTTGGTAAACCAGTGTAATACAATGTATTGCTATCGCTGTTTTTAAAATAATCAGTATCCATCTGAAACATGGACAGTTTTTCTCGCAATTTATAAATTTCTTCGTTGCTACTGCGAAGCGCTCGCTGCATATCCTCCACAGTTAGGTCTTTTTGTTCAGGAACTTCCTCGGGCTCAGTTTCTGATGAAGATTGTGGTAATTTGTCATCTGCCTAAAAATAATTGAAAGATCTATGCATAAGTAAGCACAATACAAATAATTAAGATTATTCTATAGAAATTAGTTCCAAGATCCCTCAGGTATACACTGCCACAATTCACCACCATACAAAATGACATTTTTAATTGTTTAATATAACAATTTTTGCAGAAGAAGCTAATTAAACGCCGATTTGTTTATCCCTTTACAGTACAGTAAACAGAAAATGTCAAACGGTTTGTTTATACTCCAAGCTGAAAGACCTTGAAAGGTGTGACGTCACGCGCACGAGCCCTATAGAACAGGTAGACAAAATTCATACAGGAGGGTCTCGAGAGAGTCCGGCTCCCTGCGGCGCACTGAGATGCGTTGCATTTGTTTGAGATTCAACCACGCTTGCCACGGTAGTTACAAATAAACGTACGATTGGCTAATTTTATTTATAATTAATTATTGAACTTGAACTTGCTATCTTACCTGTTATATGATTATTCAATAAACATGTTGTTTCCAAAGTACACATTTGTAAAGAAACTCCATTAGATAGTCCATTATACTCCAAAATACTCCATTAGATAATCTGCACTTCAACTCCGAAAAAAGGACGCCAACTCCAAAAAGGACGCCATTGCATTCATTGAATTCGCATAATTCGTTCAATCTGTCTGTTACATAAAAATAATGTATATTTAAAAATTGTGTGACTCGTCATGAAATTTATTTGTATTTCGAAGTTTTTAACTGTAGAACACGGCTAACCCGCTTGTGTAAAAGTACATACGAAAATATGATGCTCCGATTGCAATAAATCGAAATTACATTGAATTAACGTATTTCAAATGACAACATTTAATATTAGAGACATTCAACAAGTATATTAAGTAATAAACAGAGTATTTTTTTAAATCACTTGAAATAAATAATAGACCGGGAGATATTAGACTGAAGTTCGACGACGTCTTTCTCGTTTATGCCTCTGAGAGTCCTGAAAGGTAACCGAGAGACAAGTAAAATAAACTAAATTTAAAAGGTGGGCTGCGGGACACCTTTGTGAAAATTTAATTTCAATTTTTCAAAAAAATTTATGTGTACAGCGACGTATTTCTCACTTATGCCATGTTCGTAAGTTGAAAAGAAGTTTCGATTTTATCACAAAATTTATTTGGCATAAGTGTCGCAAGGGACCTAAAAATGGAAAACTTTGTAAGAAAATGTGGAAAAACATCTTTATTTGTCTACCAATTTCTCATTAATGCCAATTAGAAATTTGACATTATTATATTCGAAAAGCTCATAAAAAACATTGGCATAAGTCCTTATAATATAAGGAAGCCTTATATTATAGAGCGGGGGCCTATCCTGTACAAATTTTATTAAAAGTTCTTCCCATGAAGCCGAAACATCTTTCTTTACCAGGGTGGTGTTTCTATCTTTATCAACTAAAAAATAAACAACTATTGCTTAAATTCAAAAATGTTTACATGGAAATCCATTATAAAGAATTTTTCGAAGTAAATTTTTATATTAAAATGTTAGGGGTTACTGGTTAGCTACATACCCAAGGTTAGAACACCATTCTCGTCAAGGACTAAATTATGCACTAATGCATCAAAATTCAGTTGCATGAAACACTCATGGGATGTATAATCCTCACAATGGGACTTGATGAAGAAATTGCAATATCCACATTTATATTGCTGGAGGAAAAGGGAAAAAACTATTACGAGTTTCGATTTAATAATTTGCTAACAATAAATTATGAATGTGAATGAAATGTAATTACCTATCTCATCCATTTTCTGTACTCTCTCGACGAAATAATTAATTATAGAGACGAAATAGATAAAAAACAAACTAATCAAACACGTTTTCAGAATATAAACAAATACAAATGGCCAATAAATGTCACACGAGCACAAAAGTAAACACCGGAATACGGAAAAAGTTGAACCTAGTCAACTTTTATCCGGAACGCATGCGGATCTGTCACTTTTTCAAAATGGCTGCTGTGCGTCCAATATTTTTTCGATATTGTGATCACGTGATTCCGCATCTCCGCAGTTCCGCACTAAATTATTGTACATGAGGACCGGCCAT